TACATAAACTGAGGATGGGAGTTCAAAGGATGTCAAAAGTTAAACGAGCCACATTGCTAGGGTATCGTCTCCGCCCGCGGGCAGGAAGAACGTAAGTGTCTACCTTGAGGATTGGGAGATCTTGGAGTTCCAGCTGTTCAAGAATGTCAGTGCCACATGTCTGGAAATTTTGTTGAACTATGGTATGGGGCAGAATGATGGTACCACTACAAGAATTGAGGGAATGATGCTTTTCAATAGTTACAGGAACAGTAAACGATATGGAAAGACGAGAAAGCTCATGAGCCTGGGTAGCATTCTGTACGGTGACGATGCGCGTACCTCTCTTAAGAGCATGAAAAGAAATATCTTTACCAACACGGCCTAGGAGTGCCTTGCCAATACTGTGGTCAGAAAGATAGGCAGTAGAGGAAGTCGGTCGTAAAGGAAGAATTTAGTCCATTGTGCAGTCTGAAACTGAGCGTGGAAAGGTAGTGAAGGACGTGTCGATCTTTTCTGAGAAGAACGAGAAGGTGGAGAAATATCATCAGCAGGAAATTGTCGTTGTCGTTTAGGCGTGGGACCAGAGTTGGTCCGACGTGGAACGGGCCGGCGATTCGAAAATTGCCGCACCGTAGAGGGAGAGGCCGGAAGCATAGTCAGAGGAGAGCGAAGGTCAGATAAATCGAAGGAGTCAGTCGAGGCCTCAGTACCTGAAGCGGGTGAGGAAACAGCACCGGCAAGAGGTACAGAGGCATGAGGAGTGTCCGAAGAGTGGTCCAAAGACGAGGCGGGGTCAGAACGGGGTGCGGTATCAAGAAGGGGACGTGGGGGTAGCAGGTTCATGGACTAGGGCTGCCATGGTTAGGTTACTTCTTTCTTTTTGTTTTTAAGAAAGAAAAAGAAAGAAGAAAAGAAAATAAAAATAAAAAAAAGAATAAAAAAAGGGGGGACCGGGAAGGAATAGTTCCTAGGAGGAATGAAAGGGCCAGAAATCTCCCTCCGCGCCCAAGAGGACCTCAGCACTGCAAGTAGCGCAGATGCAGCATGGAACCCGTGCCATACCCTACCCATCATGCCAGTAAATCGGCAATCTGGGATAGCAACCTCACATCTGCCGAGCTACCTCGGTGGACAAAAGAGAGGGCGGCCGGAAATCCACCACAAAGCATACCTCCTTCGGCCACCACCCCCGGAATCCGAAAGGTGGCTTCCAGAGATACACCCGTCGCCCGAGAGACACCCAAAGCCACCCTCCGGGATACCGAGAGGGATCAGGAAATCCCCAGGCAATCCAGATTCCACGGCAAACTACGCCACCGCCAAGAACCTCAACGGAATGGGATGGACCCCGGTACCCTTTCCCCTACTAGCGTGCCTGTGGAAAAAAAAAAAAAAAAAAAAAAAAAAAAAAAGGAAGGGCAAAAGGGAGGGGTGGGGAGGAGGAGGAGGAAAGGAAAAAGGGGAGGATGGGGAGGGAGGATGGGGAGGGTGGGATAGGGAACCGGGGATTGGGGGTAATTAAGTTCGGTCTGAGGAAGTAGACTGACAGGTCTAATTCCTCAGACCAAGAGCCTCTTCACCACGCCAAGGAGCCCCCCTTGAAGAGGTGGTATAACAGTAACAACCTACATGACTCTCACACTGTGTGGTATAACAGTAACAACCTACATGACTCTCACACTGTGTGGTATAACAGTAACAACCTACATAACTCTCACACTGTGTGGTATAACAGTAACAACCTACATAACTCTCACACTGTGTGGTATAACAGTTACAACCTACATGACTCTCACACTGTGTGGTATAACAGTAACAACCTGCACGACTCACACTGTGTGGTATAACAGTAACAACCTACATGACTCACACTGTGTGGTATAACAGTAACAACCTACATGACTCACACACTGTGTGGTATAACAGTAACAACCTACATGACTCTCACACTGTGTGGTATAACAGTAACAACCTACATGGCTCTCTCACTGTGTGGTATAACAGTAACAACCTACATGACTCACACTGTGTGGTATAACAGTAACAACCTACATGACTCACACTGTGTGGTATAACAGTAACAACCTACATGACTCACACTGTGTGGTATAACAGTAACAACCTACATGACTCTCACACTGTGTGGTATAACAGTAACAACCTACACATAGGACACACTGTGTGGTATAACAGTAACAACCTACACATAGGACACACTGTGTGGTATAACAGTAACAACCTACACATAGGACACACTGTGTGGTCGAGCAGGCAGTAAAAACTTACTCAACTCTCACACTAAAATCATGGTCCAAAACATCATTGGAATAAATTCTGTTCTTCCATCGTTTCTATTCAAACATTTATATTACAGCAAGATCAAATTGTAAAACATTCTGTGACATCTTAATAATAATGATAACAACACTAATAATAATGACTCAGGAAATCGTAATAATATGATTGCACACAAACCACGGAACGGGTGGGCTTTGAACCCTGAGCAAGTGAATCCTGAAACACCAGGCAAGTGTGAAAGCCACTTGGCCAGCTGGCTGTAGATGTGGCAAACTCTAGTTCAAGACCCCGCTAAACCGCCATCATTACTCACGAAATCGTAATAACACGATTGCGAACAAACCACGGAACAGGTCGGGATAAAATCATTGGATGACTTATACTGTAGACATCTGAATGGCTTACGCATTAGCCTACCTGTTGTTTCAGGTCTTGCTTGCCATGGGTTCAATCACCGCCTGTCCCAAGGTGCGTTAACGATAATATAATAATAATAATAATAATAAATAATAATAATAATAATAATAATAATAATAATAAATAATAATAATAATAATAATAATAATAATAATAACAATAATAATAATAATAATGTTAATTATAATTATAAGAAGAAGAAGAGGAAAAAGAAGAAGAAAATACGATACAGACGAAGACAAAGATGATTATCATTATTAATTATATTATTACTTTTTTGGCCACAGGAAAGTTCTAAATTCTTATGGAACTCATTCATCAATGGATACTTAAAATGTTTAGTTCTCTGACTCTCAAATAGGTTTATTAATGAGTGAAATATAAAACTGAGTTCCACAAGAGCTGGAATAATTTATTCTAAATCTGAGTTCAGTCGTTGTGATCCTCAAATCGAATAACATTATGTGAGTTTGACCTCTAAAGCTCAAGTACAGATCATGTCACCTCTAAATGTCAGTTATTGTGTATATAAATAAATGTCGAGTGTTTTTTTTTTCTTTTTCTTGACGGCAATAAATTTAAAATATGAACGAAATTTAAAAAAATACATCTAAACTTTCAAAAGTTATAAGTACCCGCATAATATTTTCAGTATTATTAGTTCATATTTTTTGAAATTTGTAAAATCCTTTTTTTGGCTGGTTAGACACATGTTATGGTTTCCTCCCTCACTAGTGAATGAAGATGTTACCTGTCAAGAACCAGGTAAGTTAAGATGTTACCTGTCAAGAACCAGGTAAGTTAAGATGTTACCTGTCAAGAACCAGGTAGGTAATGATGTTACCTGTCAAGAACGAGGTAAGTTAAGATGTTACCTGTCAAGAACCAGGTAAGTTAAGATGTTACCTGTCAAGAACCAGGTAGGTAATGATGTTACCTGTCAAGAACGAGGTAAGTTAAGATGTTACCTGTCAAGAACGAGGTAAGTTAAGATGTTACCTGTCAAGAACGAGGTAAGTTAAGATGTTACCTGTCAAGAACGAGGTAAGTTAAGATGTTACCTGTCAAGAACCAGGTAAGTTAAGATGTTACCTGTCAAGAACCAGGTAGGTAATGATGTTACCTGTCAAGAACGAGGTAAGTTAAGATGTTACCTGTCAAGAACCAGGTAAGTTAAGATGTTACCTGTCAAGAACCAGGTAGGTAATGATGTTACCTGTCAAGAAACGAGGTAGTTAAGATGTTACCTGTCAAGAACCAGGTAAGTTAAGATTTACCTGTCAAGAACCAGGTAGGGAATGATGTTACCTGTCAAGAACGAGGTAAGTTAAGATGTTACCTGTCAAGAACCAGGTAAGTTAAGATGTTACCTGTCAAGAACCAGGTAGGTAATGATGTTACCTGTCAAGAACGAGGTAAGTTAAGATGTTACCTGTCAAGAACGAGGTAAGTTTTAAAATGTTACCTGTCAAGAACCAGGTAGGTGATGATGTTACCTGTCAAGAACGAGGTAAGTTAAGATGTTACCTGTCAAGAACGAGGTAAGTTAAGATGTTACCTGTCAAGAACCAGGTAAGTTAAGATGTTACCTGTCAAGAACCAGGTAGGTAATGATGTTACCTGTCAAGAACGAGGTAAGTTAAGATGTTACCTGTCAAGAACCAGGTAAGTTAAGATGTTACCTGTCAAGAACCAGGTAGGTAATGATGTTACCTGTCAAGAAACGAGGTAAGTTAAGATGTTACCTGTCAAGAACGAGGTAAGTTAAGATGTTACCTGTCAAGAACCAGGTAGGTGATGATGTTACCTGTCAAGAACGAGGTAAGTTAAGATGTTACCTGTCAAGAACGAGGTAAGTTAAGATGTTACCTGTCAATAACCAGGTAGGTGATGATGTTACCTGTCAAGAGCGAGGTAGGTGAAGATGTTACCTGTCAAGAACGAGGTAGGTGAAGATGTTACCTGTCAAGAACCAGGTAGGTAATGATGTTACCTGTCAGGAACGAGGTAAGTTAAGATGTTACCTGTCAATAACCAGGTAGGTGATGATGTTACCTGTCAAGAACGAGGTAAGTTAAGATGTTACCTGTCAAGAACGAGGTAAGTTAAGATGTTACCTGTCAAGAACGAGGTAGGTGAATATGTTACATGTCAAGAACGAGGTAGGTGAAGATGTTACCTGTCAAGAGCGAGGTAAGTGAAGATGTTACCTGTCAAGAACGAGGTAGGTGAATATGTTACATGTCAAGAACGAGGTAGGTGAAGATGTTACCTGTCAAGAACGACGTAGGTGAAGATGTTACCTGTCAAGAACCAGGTAGGTGAAGATGTATGATGGGACCTCGACCAACATCGTGGCGATGAAATTTACAAAGATATTGCCAGCCAAACTGTTAGAGTTGTAGGATAGTCCATAGTATAGCAGAGTGCAGACAGTCCTGTCAAACACATAATTATAATATTTACACACAACCTTGACTATGGAAGGGGTTGGGTGGTAAACAGATTTATTCTCTAAGACGAACACAGCTATCTATATATCTTTATTCCGAAACTTTGCCCATGTGTATTACTTATCAACTTCTCGGTATTATATACTATTAACATATTCACAAAGTTATGTATAATTACTAAGACAATCAGAGTTAAATGCATTTGATGAATCAATCATCTCTCTTTCCACAGTTTCAACGTAAACAAAGGTAGTAACTGTTTTATATATGATTGCTTTCTTTCTATAAAAATAATTAATAATATATCAAACAGGTCATGCATGTGTGATTAAATGTTGAGTTGTATTTATATGTATTCAGCATTTAAGGTTAATATATTAACTGAGGTAAAATGTGAAAATACTTAAAAATATATGGAAACTTAAACATGGGGAAATATCTTAAAATTTGGGTAACTATTGATAGAAATTGGGAAATATGGGAATATGGGAAATAAACATGGGTATAAAAATAGGGATAATGCGGGGAAATGTGAAATATAAAGAATATCTTAAATTAAAGATAAACACGAAGGAAAAATGAAGAAATATGAGAAAATACGTTTAGACACGGGGAGTATGTTGTTCTACGTCATGTAAACTCTTGCACCCTGAAATATATCATTCATCAGTCCTCAAAAAACAATGCTACTGACCCCCCCCCCCCCCCCAAAAAAAAAAAAAAAAAAAATAACCATGATCTCACTCCAAGAGATGTTTTAGTGGCAAGAAATGAAAAAAATGGAAAAAATTTAACCAAAATATTCCACCATCTTGGAGCCGTGTTGGACTGGAGGCATCCCCAGTGGTCTCGCTACTCCAGAACCAAGACTAGTGATGCCAACAACAAAATCCTCCCAGCAAATAGGCAATACGATTTCATTTGTTTTTGCAAATATATAGGGCCTTAAACCATCCACCAATAACAAAATAACCTTAATCAATATACTTCTACAAAAGTCAAATGCGATGTTTGCAGCCTTCACAGAGACCCACACAAAAGTGAAATATGGATGACAGAAAAATCAGGCAAGAAGGGAAAGTTGGCCTGTATGTTAATGATTCGCTCATTTACACAGACTAACTGAACACCACAAATGATGTAGATGAAGTTTTAACTATAAAGATCGAGAAGGAAAGCTTAGTTATTGTGGTTGTATATAAGCCACCAGATGCAACTTATCAATAGTTCAAGGAACAGTTATTGAAAATTTATTATTGTCTGGAAAACTTTCCAGCTCCATCCCCGAACATCTTGCTGCTTGGTGACTTTGATTTAAGACATTCAGAATCAAAGAATGTAGCAAATAATGTTGTAGTAGAGGCTATTCCTGGAGGCAGCTCAAATGAAAAGTCACACACACACGAGTTGATGAATCTCTTCAATTAATACACCGTAAGCTAATAGATAGTGGAGCCAACAAGACTGGAAAACAAACTTGGCCATATTTCACAAATCATGAGGACCTGGTAAGAAACATAACAATATCAAAACAACTAATTCGGATCACAGTCTAACCGAAGCCCAGACATATATGTACAGGAATCCTCACCAACAAATACATAGAGTTACGAAGGTGCCTTCACCAAATTCAACTTCAACATCAAGGACATCAATTAAACATGCTGGGGAAATATCTTAAATACCACAGATTCAAACTGGTGCCTTGAAAAGAACAAATTTCTGGCAGCTGGAGTATGCTCAAGGCATATTCCCCTAAGAAAAAAGAAGAGAAGAGGTTCACTGGAGAGAGAAGGCAAAGAATCACTGGAGCTTCTGAAGTGCAGAGATTATCTGATTAAATGATTTATACAGGATCCAGGAGAGACAAGAGGAGGTTAAAGCAATTAATGAAATTGAAAGAAATTCAATTTTTTGGTTTAGCATATGCCTAAAACAAAGCAAAAACAACATTTAGTATATGGGTCCTTGCTTAGACAAGATGGAACTAACACAGATGACAACAAAGAAATGAGTGAGATACTAAAGTCTCGGTACAAAACTGTGTTTAGCAAGCCATTAATCAGTCTAAACATCGACAATCCAAATCAATTATTTCATGAATGTTTCTCAAAACCTTGTCAATGTATGATAAATTTCTGACATAATCCTAACACCACTGGACTGTGAAAAAGCCAAAGACAACATTCCCATTCCTAGTTCATCAAGATCTGCAAGAAATCCTTTTTACTTGCCTTAAATATGATATGAAGAGGGAGTTTGGACATAGGTATAATCCCACAGTCACTAAAAACTACGGATATGGCCCCACTCCACTAAGGTACAAGCAAAGCAACAACACACAACTAGAGACTAACAGCTCAAATATCCCATATCATAAAATTTTAAGAAGAGTTTTAAGAAGCATGATCACAAATCTTTTTGTATCCCAACAGTTACACAGTTCAGAACAACATGGGTTTAAAGCAGGTCGATAGTGCCTCTCGCAACTACTGGACCACTGTGATATGATCTTGGATGCACTGAAAGACAAACAGAATGTAGATGTAGTTTATGCAAATTTTGACAAGTGCAATCATGTTGTAATGGCGCATAAAATGCTTGCTAATGGGATAACTGGCATGTGGGCAGATAGATCTTTATAGTTATAACCATTTCAACACAGAGTTATAGTAAAGAGTTAAGTCAGAGGTTGCCACAATGAAAATCTCTATTCCAGACAGCACAGTACTAATTCCATATTGTTTCTCATCCTCATATCACACAGAGACAGAGATGTAAACCGTGTTTTTCTCTGCAGACGATATTAAAATACGCATGAGACTGTCGTCCACTGAGGACACGGTAAATCTCCAAGCGAATTTAAAACAAGTTTCCCAATGAGCAACGGAAAATATTATGATATTCAATGTGGACAAATTTTAACTACTCCGTTATGGAAAACTAGAGGAAATAATAGCAGAACAGAGTAAGTTACAAACCCTAACCACACAATAGAGCGATAAAGTAATATGAAGGACTTGGTAGTGTTAATGTGAGAGGATGTCACCTTTGAGGATCACAGCAGTGTCACTATCACATCTGTGAGGGAAATGATAGGATGGATAACGAGAGTCTTCAAAACATGGGATGCCATACCAGTGATGATCCTTTTCTATGAATGCTGCTGCACAGTAACAGTTATATTCAAGGCAGATGAAATCACGGATCTAGAGAAAGTACAGAGAACCTTTACTGCACATTTAAGTTCTGTCAAAAAACTTAATTACTGGAAACGCTAGGAATTACTTGATCTGTACTCACTGAAGAGTAGGCGAGCGAGATACATCATAATGCAAGCCTGGAAAATCCTAGAGGAAATAGTCCCACATCTGCGCACAAAAATCACTCCCTACGAAAGGAAAAGATTGGACAGACATTGCAACACAACCCCAGAGTAGAGTAGAGGCGCCATTAATAAGCTAACAGGAAACATAATAAGCGTCCTTGGGCCCAAGACTGTTCAACAGCCTCCCACCAGTCATAACGGGAATTACTCCTGGCTGCCTTCAAGAAGGAGCTGGATAGATAAACTGCTGCGGCATTGATCCCCGGAACACCCACTCGGTAGAAATATGGAAAATGAAAGAAAATTAATAAACATATAGTAATGGACCGATCCGTGGGGGCGTTGACCCCCGTTAAGTCCTCCAGGGATATGGGAAAATATGGAGAGGTACTGAGAAAATGTGGGAAAATGTGAAGAAATTGGGAGAAACAAACAACAGACAGACACAATACCTTGACCGGAACTATACTCACAAAGTCCAAACATAGGAGAAGAAAACTTATGACGAGGTTTCGGTCCCGACTTGGACCATTAGCTAGTCACACTAACGTACGAAGGTAAGAGAGCAAGTATATACACGAGGAGGGCAGGGAGTGGACAAAGAAAGGAGGAAAAAAGAAGGAAATGGAGACATTTGTTGTATTGGTGGTGGAAGTAATAGTAAGTAGCAGGAATAATAGTAGTGGCACAAGAGACAGAAAGTAGAGTGAAGCGAGGAAATATTAGTAGTAGAAGAAGTTGCAGTAGTAGAGAAGGTCTAAGGACTAGAAATAAGAACTTTGCAGAAAAGTTAATTACTCACGACGGTGGGGCCACAAACCTAGGAATATGCTGAAGGATAGAACACACCTAGGCAGAAGAAAAATAAAGACAAAGAAAATATAGGTAAGGAGAAGAGATAAAGATCAGGTTAAGTCTCGAGTGCTCTGAAATTTAGAGGATTTGACAATATAATGACAAAGCCACGACTAAGATCCATATTAGGAAAGTTGTATATAAAGGATGCCTTAATAAGACAGCGTCCGTGAAGGCTAGAAGAAGGGTAGACAGTTTTGGCAGCGACGAGTCAGTGGGAAGAATTAGACACATGTGCAATCTCAGGGTATTTTATTGTAGACATATCGCCTGACAGTGGCTTTCTCAATATAATTCAAGGACGTAATGGGAAGACTTCGCTGCTCATCACCAAATTCAAGGGTAAGGGACTGATTACCTCATTTTTGCATATAGTTCTGCAGGTTTCCCATTATGTCCTTGAATTTTATTGATAAAGCAACTGGATGACGAAATGTTTACAAATAAAAATACTCAGATGTTGCACATGTGTTTAATTCTTCATCTTGTCGGTATTGTATACCATTCTTGTACACCAGTCAATAGGATGACTTTGATCTTTAACATGAGAGAAAAGGGAATTATTGGTGCTGGCAGATCTAACACATCAGAAGGAAAGTAGCCAATTTCTCCAAAGTATTGAAGAGAACTAGAGAAGCAGGAAATAGAGTAAACTCTGGAAGTAACAAAAGCAGAAGAAAAGGTATGAATTGGATTAATATGAAAGGTGTCAGTTTGGCGAAAAGTAAGTCTGATGTTTAAGGAACGGAAAGAGATGTTAAGAGTAGAGAGACTGGAAATATAAGGAACGTAAGAACAGGAG